CTCAGCTCCTCTGGCAGCTCTGCAATCCTGCAGACTGAGCACAAAACGCTGAAGGTTCAGCTGGTGAAGAACCAACCCAAAGCCTGGCTGTTGGGTGCAGAGAAAACCACGAGCCCCTCGGTGCTGTCAGAAGTAACACCAAACCCCATCTGCAGCATTTCTGCTCATCTTTGAGAAGAACTTGCTGTTTTCTTGAGTGTTTTTTTTTTAACTCGGAGATCTGCAGGAGCCACACAACAACATTATTTCTTCAGCAGCTGACACCTGGGACACTTGAGCACAACGTGATTCCAGGAGAACACACTTCTGTCCCGTGGGTTTGAAATGAGTACCTCGGGATGGCAGCACATGCGCGAAGCACAAAGGCAATTTATTGACATGAGCAGTTTTTGCTTCCAAAGGATCTGTTTGAAGGTGATGACAAACAATTTAACCCCCCTTCCTACTCGAGTCTCGAGTGCTCATCATGCTGATTCCTGAGAGATGGAGCACCAGGGCCCTGCTTCGGCGCCTCCTCGCAGCTCAGAAACGCCGCAGCACAGACAGGAAAAAACGCCAAAGGCAGAGTGGTGAGARCACAGAGAGAAAGAATTCCACTTGTTCCAGCTCGTTCAGATGACAGAAGTGCCAYGCAGGTTTGAGAAGCGCCGGTCACACTCGCTCATCTCCAGCAAGGCGGCGTTAACGCGGCCGTGCGCGAGGAGCAGACGGCAGCGCTCGGCAYGTCCCTGCTCCTTCAGCTGATTGCTCTGCACTCATTGTTATCATCACAGCACACACGGGATGTGCCAGCCTGAATAAATASTATCGCTAGGACAACTTTTATGGCATATAATTCACACAGACAGACATCAAAATCCCACTTCATCGGCGCTCGCACGAGATGAATTCAGACACCGCTTCGGCTCCTGAAGGATTAAACACATTTTCAAAGGGTCTCACACAATGGTGCTGCTGAGGAGCTGGTGATAGTCATCATTAACAGAGATTTAATTTAAAGATTGTGGAATGCTCACGGTATCCAACAGGCAGCTCTTACTTGCACAAGGTRGAATTCGGCATCTGGGGGAGTGCTGGCAGGAAAATATCCACTCTTGATGTGCTTCAGAACCATCACACACCCACCCCGTGTCTGGGAGCACATCCACCATGCCCCAACCCCACAGACCCACCCTCCACACACAAACCCCTCATCCAGGGCTCTGCAAACGCCATCCGTGACGGCCCAGACTCTGCACACTCAGCAGGTGTAAAGTCTGACGGCTTCTCCATGTAAGCTCTTTATGTGAAAGGAGCTGAGAAGCAGAGCTCCAGAGCCACCAACAATATGCCAGAGTAAATATTGTAATTCTGAGGAGCAGAGGATGACAATGAGGCCTCTGTGCAGGGTAATCCCTGCATTGTCACCTGACAAAGCCCTCCAGGATCCAGTAACAGCTCTGCCGTGACAGAATCCCCYGGACCACGAGATCTCATTAGAGACAAAAGCCTTTATCACAACAGAATCCATCAATCCCCTTCAACTCCTCAGAGTTTTTGAATTTCCACTGCTCAGCACACGAAGCACAGGATAACATTTCCACCCACACTCCCTCCCCCCTGGGCTGGACCGTGCTCTGTGGCCGGAGCGCTGAGCTGCTCCTGGAAACCATGGAAATTCTGGGTGGGAGCTCTGCCCACGGCTTCTCTGCTGCTCTCAGACACCTCCTGCCCTCCTGGGCTGTAGTTATTTACTGATCCCTTTAAAAACAGTGCTGTTACTGATCCCTTTAAAAATAGTGCTGTTACGGATGCCTTTAAAAATTGCGCTGTTTTTAAAATAGCGCTGTTACAGATCCCTTTAGAAATAGCGCTGTTACAGATCCCTTTAAAAATTGCGCTGTTACAGATTCCTTTAAAAATAGCGCTGTTACAGATCCCTTTAAAAATTGTGCTGTTTTAAAAATAGCGCTGTTACAGATCCCTCTAAAAATAGCGCTGCTACAGATCCCTTTAGAAATAGCGCTGTTACAGATCCCTCTAAAAATAGCACTCCTGATGTAACAATGGGGACAGAGCACACGGACCCTCCCATGCGCTCACACAAATCCTTTACTCGCACAAAGCTGTGCCTTTTTATACTTTCAATGTTCCCGGGCTGAGCTCCCATTGGCTGTTTGTTCTGCAAGGTCACCGGCCATGAAGCCTCTTATCCAATCACAGCTCTGCATAGGCAGCGTCATGCACCTCATTAACCAATCACAGCTTGACACAGGCTCCTCCCTGTGCCCCCAGTCCTTCCCATGTGGTGAGATGGATCTACAAACTTTTCAGAATTTTTAGTCAAATTTCAGCCTTCTGGGGAGACTCCAAATGCCGAATTTAACCAGCAGAAACTGCAGCTCCTGCACACAACATTCCCACCACCCCAAGAACTGGGACCAAGGGCAGAGGAAATGAAATCTGGAAAGTTTTCATCAATTTTCAATCAAAGTAAAACAAATCCTGCCATGAACTGATTTCCTTTGATCACAATTCCAGGCRGTTTTTCAACACAACACATTCCAACTGCTGCGGGGAAAATGTAAAGGAGTGGGGGAGAGGCCAGGGGAGGCCAGGGTGGGGTGGCCAT